GTCATGAAATATTGATCCTATATTGGGGCAGGAGAGGTACAGATATAAAACAATGGACATTAAACTAAAAATAACTATTTATAGATAATTTAGTTAAAAAACGAATTATTTTGAATTTTTAATTAACAATAAAACCCAAATAATTGGCATAATGGTTGTGCATGCAAACAAATTCCAGATTCATAAGAGATTTCAATTCAAGATTCATAAAGTATAAAGCTATAAAAGTTTCTGAAACACAGAATCTAAAGATTTAACAAAATTCAAATGGCTAGAAATAAAACTACTGCATCAAAGCACCTTTGTTTTGCTTGAGTTTTTCTCCTATTTTCAAAAAAGCTCACCATTATACTTTTAAATCTTTGCAATTATAAAATGAATGTTGATTCAACAACAAGTATCTTGTTCAAGAATCAACGAGTATCTTGTTCAAGAATCAACGAGTATCTTGTTCAAGAATCAACGAGTATCTTGTTCAAGAATCAATGAGTATCTTGTTCAAGAATCAACGAGTATCTTGTTCAAGAATCAACGAGTATCTTGTTCAAGAATCAACGAGTATCTTGTTCAAGAATCAACGAGTATCTTGTTCAAGAATCAACGAGTATCTTGTTCAAGAATCAACGAGTATCTTGTTCAAGAATCAACGAGTATCTTGTTCAAGAATCAACGAGTATCTTGTTCAAGAATCAACGAGTATCTTGTTCAAGAATCAACGAGTATCTTGTTCAAGAATCAACGAGTATCTTGTTCAAGAATCAACAAGTATCTTGTTCAAGAATCAACGAGTATCTTGTTCAAGAATCAACGAGTATCTTGTTCAAGAATCAACGAGTATCTTGTTCAAGAATCAACAAGTATCTTGTTCAAGAATCAACGAGTATCTTGTTCAAGAATCAACAAGTATCTTGTTCAAGAATCAACGAGTATCTTGTTCAAGAATCAACGAGTATCTTGTTCAAGAATCAACGAGTATCTTGTTCAAGAATCAACGAGTATCTTGTTCAAGAATCAACAAGTATCTTGTTCAAGAATCAACGAGTATCTTGTTCAAGAATCAACAAGTATCTTGTTCAAGAATCAACGAGTATCTTGTTCAAGAATCAACGAGTATCTTGTTCAAGAATCAACGAGTATCTTGTTCAAGAATCAACGAGTATCTTGTTCAAGAATCAACGAGTATCTTGTTCAAGAATCAACGAGTATCTTGTTCAAGAATCAACGAGTATCTTGTTCAAGAATCAACGAGTATCTTGTTCAAGAATCAATGAGTATCTTGTTCAAGAATAATTTTATTATTGAAATTAAAACAAAAATAATTTTTTGAATCCAAATTAGAGATGTCACAAATTTTCAGTGTCTATTCGGTACTCTGCCTATTCGGCAACTTATTTTACTATTCTGTAATAAGCCGAATATTGCAAACTATTTGACCAAATACTAAATACCAGATTGCAAAGAAAAAAACATATTTATTTTAAATTATCGAAAAATATTGTTAAAAAGTGTATTTTTTACGATAAACATAAATGTTTTTAAAAAACTTGTAAAATTAATTTTATAAACAACAACAAAAATGATTTTTTTTAATAAACATTTTGATGAACCTATAAATTTAATAGTCGGAAACATAACAAATTTTTTTTTTTTTTTTGTTATGCTATGTAAACTTTCAAATAAAATTTATTTACACTAAGCTAAATGCTTTCAAAGAAAGTTTAAAAATGCAATTAAATAAATTATCATAAAATATTAAAAAAAACTGTTATTTTAAAAATATTTTTTTAATGATGAATGTAATATTTTTAAAACAATTTGTGTAATATTTTCAAAGCAATTTACATCGTTGTTTATTATATTTCTTAATATAATAAACAACGATGACAATAAATGCATTTCAATAAACTTTTTTTTATAAATACTTTTTGATGATTTAAAGTTAGTTTTTTATTAAATGATAATTAGATTTTTTTATTTGAAAGTTTACCTAATATTATAAAAACATTAGAAAAGATCAATGTTTTATAGTTCGTCACGTTGGTTTTAAAGGTTAATAATTAAATGTTTAATTGCAAAATTTAATTTAAATTGCAAAACATGAATAAAAATAATTTTCTATTAGCGTTTAAGTTTTTCAGATTTACATTAGTTGCTTTTTTTTAGAGCTATAGGTTTTATTTTTTTTTTTAATTTCTCTTTTGTTAAGATTTCTTTCTTTTTCATATAGTTTAACCTGTTTGAATTTTTTTTTCCTTTTGTCAGTTTTTTTAAGCGCTTTTTTAAACATCTAAAAAGCTGTGGTCAAGCTTTCAAAAAAAACAATTACATGCGTGGTCAAGATTGCAATCGCACCTCTTTCCTGTCCACGACTTATTCAGACTGGCATGGAATCCAGGTCAAGCCTCTTCTCCATGGTTTTCCTCACATTGTGCTGCTGCAATTTCCAACCAAAACTGTTACTTCCATATCTATCAGCAAAAAAATTCTCTAGAAAGCAGACATTTGTTTATTACTGCTAGAAACCATTGTAAAAAAGTTTTGTCTAATGCCAAAGCCTGCTATTCTCAAGACATGAAATCTTGTATTTCATCTCAAAAATTAGGCTATTGCGACTTCTGGAGAATCTTTAGCAGTATCAATAATAAGGACAAATCTGTTATTCCACCTCTCTTGTATGGTTCAGACTTAGTCACCTCACCTAAAGACAAAGCTGAATTGTTTGCTGAAAACTTTTCATCAATATCTTCTCTTGATTCCAATAGTTGCGTTCTACCGGATATAGCCATCAAACAGGTTGATCCATTGCTTGACATTTGTATCACTCCAGCTTCTGTATCTAAAATGATTTCCTGCTTAGACTCTTCTACAGCTTGTGGTCCGGACAACATACCTGTTATAGTCTTGCAGAAGTGTTCTCTAGAGCTGTCTTCTATACTTTCATGACTACTTGACAAGTGCTTATAGGAGTCTTGTTTTCCAGCCTGCTGTTATCCCTATTTTCAAAACTTCTGGAAAGCGTTCTGGTTTGTCTAACTACTGCCCCATTGGTCTTCTTCCTATCATAAGCAAGATTTTTGAATCCTTGATTAACAAACACTTATTTACTCACCTTGAACCTAATAATTAACTTTCTGATCATCAATATGGATTTCGATCTTCTCTTTCTACAGCTGATTTGCTAACAGTAATAACTGATAGGTTTTATTGTGCATTAGATTAAGGTTGAGAGGTTAAGGCTATCGCTATTGATATTTGCAAAACTTTTGATAAAGTGTGGCATGCTGGTCCTTCTCCATAAACTTTTGTCTTATGGTGTATCTGGTAACATTTTTAAGATTATTGAATCCTTCCTTTCCAATGATAGTAAAAAAGTTGTCCTTGATGGACAGTACTCTTATTCATATCCTGTAACTTCAGGGATTTCTTAAGGTTTAACCCTTAGTCCTATACTCTTTTTAATTTACATTAACGATCTTTTAGATATTCTCACATCTAAGGTGATATTGTTCACTGATGATACTACTATTTATTCTTGTCATGATAAGAAGTCAACACTCTCTGATTGCTTGAAGGGGCATTTGAGCTTGAAAAAGATCTCAATTTTTTTCAGTAAATTAATATTGCAATAATTTAAACCTTCCTATATTTATGAACGGTAATGTACTTGAAGAGTCATCTACCCTTTATCTTTTAGGATTAACTCTTACTTCCGATCTTTCTTGGAAACCATATATCAAAACTAGTATCTACTAGTTTACATCTCTTCATCGTGCTTGACACTTTCTTACTCCAGATTCTATTCTTTATCTCTATAAATCTCAAATTTGTCCTTGTATGGAATACTGTTACTATATCTGGGATGAATCTTCTAATGATGCCTTTTCTCTTTTAAAGAAGGTGCATAAACGCATTGTAAACATAGTTGGACCTGCTCTTGCAGCCAACCTCCAACCATTATCACATCGTCATAATGCTGCTTCTCTTTCTCTTTTCTACAAATACTATAATGGACACTACTCTAAAGAGCTAGCCTTTCTTGTACCACCTACTAAAATTCATTCTCGTGTTACTCATCATTCAGTTGAGTCTCATCCTTTTTCTGTGACTGTTCCTAAGTGCTCCAAAAACTCTTATTCCTCTAGGTTTTTTCCTCGAACATCAGTTATTTTAGAATTTGCTTCCTTTATCTTGCTTTCCTGATTCATATAATTTGCAATCTTTTAAGTCATCTGTCAACCGTTATCTTGCTCTGCAATCTTTATCTTTTCTCTTCCAGTAACTTCCATCTCTAATAGTGAAGTAGTTTGTTGGAAGCAAAGATGTTAAAAAAAATGTGAATATAGCGTACACAAAATATTTTAATATTTTGCGTACGTTACATTCACATTTTTTACCAATGCTGCTTATTGGTCTAGAACCTGCATCAAAACTTAAAACTCTTGGTTCTAAACCAGAACTCTTAACAATGCACCAAGAATGCTTTTGCTGTTCCCAGAATATAGAGAGAGTTTAAAAACCATCATAATAACTGCTACTTCTGTATGATTTATATTATGAAGTAGAGAAAAAGCAATGACAAAAGATGAATTAAAACCATACTGTGCATTTTGTGGTGTAGTGTGGATTCCTAGGAAATTGCAAGCACCCTAATTGCAAACAACAAGTTGCAAAGCTTTTTGAAAAATTCAAGAAGGTGGGTTTTTGTACCTATAAAGATCCATCTTGCATTCACAACTAGACTTCTTCCTTCTTAAGTATATTGTATTAATCTTTGTATCAAGGATACAAAGATTGATACAACATAGAGACTTATTATGATGGTTTTTAAACTCTCTCTATATTCTGGGAACAGAAAAATTGTGTTTATATCAAAAAAATATGAAATTAACCGTAAATATAAAACTATCAATGTTACCTCCAAAAAATGTAATTTTTTCAGTGCAAAAAAATCCATAAACAAACATTGAAAAATCTATATATATATATATATATATATATATATATATATATATATATATATATATATATATATATATATATATATATATATATATATATATATATATATATATATATATATACATATATATATATATATATATATTTATATATACAACTACAAATGCATGTTTAAAAATTATGCATACATTTATATATAATTATGCATAATTTTTATATAATTATGCATTTATATATATAAATATACATTTATATATAATTATGCATACATTTATATATAATTATTATATACATATACATATATGCATAACTTTTCCTCATTATGATTTAAATTTTTAACTGTTATTTAACATATTGATACAGCATAAATATAATTATATATACACTACAACAACAACTACTACGACTACTACTACTTATAATAATAACAATAAAGTATATATTTAAATAATAATGATTAAAACAATGGCAATAATAATAATAATAATAATAATAATAATAACAACAACAACAACAACAACAACAACAACAACAATAATATGTAATGCATACAAAATATAAACTAACCTTATTGCTTGCTTCTCTAAATTGGTTTGATGAAAACAAAAGCTTTGTTTTTATTATAAAGAAAACTTTTTTCATTTTTTCTGTTCCATTCTTCATTTACAAAAAAGAAAACAATTTTTGCTCCATTCTATATTAAATTGCTTTTTATTCAAATCTCTTATGAATAAATTATGTGTATATGAAATAGTTTAAAACAAATCATGTTAATATTTTTATATCACAAAAAGTTAAAAAAAAAAAAAAGATTTGTATGAACCAAAATAATAAAACGCAATTATAACCATGTAAATCTTAAGCAAAAAAATTTTTTTTTTTTAATTATTTTATTTTTAACAGTTTTTAAAACAAAAATATATAAAATAAATATATTCTAAAATAATTTTCACAAATAATAGATTTTAATAATAAAAAAAGTTTCATTAAAAATAAAGATTAATAAATGTTAAATTAATAAATGTATCTAACTTGAGGGAGGAAATAAGAAACAAATATTAAAAAATAAATTTTTTCAATGATTATTAACTTGAAACCCTGGCGATATACACATCATGTCAAAACTACTTGATATCAGACATTTTTCTTTATTTCCATCAGATGCCTCTGTTTCAATATCTTCATAATCATCTTCATCATTGCTACTGTTTTGTGTTCTTCCGCTCCATTCCAAATATATTGGCTCTATATAGCAAACTGATTTTGGGAGCAAATAAGGATCAAATGGAAAAAACATTTCCAACTGATTATCTGAAGAAATATTGTTATTTCCAAAAGAAAAACTGGCTAAAGAATTTCTGTTATTTCGCTCAATTATACTGTAGCAAAAAACAACTTCATAAAGTCGAGTTATTCTAGCAAAATAACTTACAACTGTTTCCATACAAAATTTCAATGGGTTAAGTCTAGAGAAAATAATTCGACTAAAATTTAATGATTTTGCAAATTCTATACCATTTGATGTTTCAAATATTGTTTTATAGTTATATATAAAAACGTAAAACAATGCTTGACATGCACTATAAAATGCACCATGTTTTTTAATTTCAGCAACAGCATGATTGCTATCTTGATGCTCTATATACCGAAGAATCCAATCACTTAGCTTTTTCATTTGTTCTCTTATTACCTTTTGATCAACAAATTTTGCTCTAGCTAGAAAACTTGCAATGTAGCTAACAGAAGCTTGTCTGATTATTACTGCCTTATTTGGGTTTTTCAAAATTGTCCAACAGCAGTCTAAAAACTCTTCATAAAAATGCTGAAAAAGAAAAATGGTGTATTTTTAAAAATCATTTAAAATCATACTTTTTAAAACTATAATTTTTCTAACATTATATTTTGATTCAATTTCTACATTATTCTATTTCAAAATATTTATAAATTTCTAAGTAATTAGGCATAATTACTTGAATCTATTTTCTACAAATAATGATATTATTTGTAGAAATAAAAAAAGAGATACAATCTTTTAACAATGGGAGAGAGGCTTAAGCTTTGCAGATAAAACAGGTCCAACTTTGTTTTCAATATGTTTTTGGACCTTATCTGGAAGAAAAAGAGTATATCTAGAAAAACCAGCCCAAATATGACAACAGTAATCAATACAAGGAAGAATAAAGAGATTTGTAGAAATGAGTCAGGAGTAATATAATGGCAAGCATGATAAAGAGAGGCAACCTTAGAAAATGTAATAGAGAGGCAACCTTAACAAATTAATTGCAAATAACTTTGCAGTCGATTGTATATGGTTTCCATAAGAGATGTAAGATCGTCAGGAAGATCATTAATGTGGATAGAAACAAAACAGGACTAAGGATAGAACCTTGAGTTACTGGAAATGAAGAAGACTGTTGGCCTACAAGGATGACTTTGATAAGGCTTAAGACTTTGACAGAAATGTTGTCTGGACCACAAGCGATAGAAAAGTTAAACTGAAATATGACTTTAGTAACAGAAGCTGGAGTGGTTTGGATACTTATAAATGGGGTAACCTATTTAACTGGAATGGCAGGAAGAGTATGGCCATACTATGAAACTTTCTTTGCCCATATTTACTGTTATACATCATAACATTCTGGACACATGTAGTCTATCATTTTTTTTTTTAATTTAATGATGCATCTCTTGCAGTTAGAAGCAGAAATAATTTTATGAGCTTGGCTTAGATATACCTAACTGTTGCCATTGGTGCCTTGTCTATTCCACTGGTTGATCCAATTTGGTCTCTAATATAACAAAAATTACCAAGAAACTTTATCTTTCTATCACTGTCTATTTTTATCTCTGTTTTAAATAATCTGTATTCAACAAAAATACATTTTCTACATATAACATACAATATTAGGAGCACCTTGTATACCACTAAATCTCTTTTGAATTGATTTGCTCCAATTCTTTTCTGAGCACTAAGTTTTTTTAAAATCTTGCTCTTAACAAGGATGCAAGCAATGACAACGATGGACATAATTATTTAAAGGTTGCTAATCAGTACTGAAGGCTGAAATGAAAAATATTGAGAAGTAAACTATCAAATTTAATTTTGTAATTTTTACCTAAATTTTGTAAAAATTACAAAATTAACTAAAACACTTAATGCATTACACTTTTTGAATTAGGACAATATTTTAAAATATCATTGTTATAAAGCCTGAAAATCTACAAAAAACCAATTAAAAAATAATAATAATAAAAAAGAATAATCTTTTAATAAAACTTTGACATTTTGTTTTTAACTTTCAATAATGGATTTATTCACTTCTCCATACAGCAGTTTTAGCATACTATTTTGAATTGGACAAAACAAAAGTTAGTTTTTAACAATCCGCTAAAAAAAAGTAAAATTTTATTTTTTTCTTAGAAAAAATTAAATCTTTACTTTGAACTAAAAATTCTAGGAACTAAGACTTTTATTTATTTTAGGAAGTAAGACTTTTATTTATTTTAGGAAGACTTTTATTAAAAACTATTTTAACGCTTTATTGAAAATTATTTTAAACTTTTTGATAAGAAGTTGATTTAAAATATCAACTCATAAATAAAAAGAAACCAGGTGATCACAAACAAAGTGATATTTAAAAATTATTGTAGCAGCATTGGTTTTACCTGGGAGGAGAGGGGGTATAGAAACACCCCCACCCTTCTCTCCACATTGCTGGAAAAAAATGGTATCAGCAAATAAACTGTGTTCGTCACAGACTCTATAACTCCGAAACACAAAACTTGGCGAATAAGGCCACCGGACGGAGAAATAAATTGAGTGTGATACTACCAGGAACATGGCAGGATCGAATTCAAAACATCTCACTTATGAGGCAAGTACTTTTTTCTATACAAAAGAAAATTGTAATTAAAAAGGACTAATAGATAGAAATGTCATTTTTGTTATGGGTAATTATCTATTATTTGTTTTAGGTGATTCAAATAAATATAATCAATATAATTCAAATAAAGTTTTTCTTTTTTTTGCGGGTGATTCATTTATTTCTTATTAAAATGAAATAATTATCTGTTGTATTTTGTCTACCTCTATTTTGTAATGATAATTTTATACTTTCTATTTAATCAATTTTAACATTTAAAGCAAAAACTATAACATTGTTTTGACATTTAATGATATCAAACTTTTGAGATTATTAAACAATTTAGGAAACAATTTTGAGATTATTAAACAATTTAGGAAAAATAAATAATTATTTTGCTTAAATTCTTATGATCACTACATTTTATTAAATGAACTTTAAAAAGAAATGTTATTATTTAAGGTTATTATTTTAAACTCATTTTATTCAAAAAAAGTTCATTTCATTCATAAAAGTTTAATTAACTTTTAACATTTAATTAACTTTAATTAATGAACAATTAGCATTTAATTTTTTTTTCTGACTTTAAAGTCATAAAAAAAAATTATGTTCGCTATTTATGTTTAATCTGCCAATAAAAAATATTTGTATTTTTTATTATTCTGTATTTTTGCTTATTCAATAATACTTTTGCACTTTTTTTATACTGTAAACTATAGATTGTTGTAATATTATTAGTCTGATTTTTATGGTGTCAAAACTATTTTTATAACAATAATCAAAAACATTTAGTTGCTAACTTAAAAATTTTAACTCTATTTTTGAAAGTATTTAATTTTTTATTAAGTTTGCTTTTCAATTCTTGCAGATCAAATCTGATTGTCCAGAATGGATATTGCAAGATAAAAACATTTATCAACATCCCAGTGCTGCAATGACTATTGAAATTGGAAGTTAACAGAAAGCAAAGAGAGTGTTAAAGAGAAAGAAAACAATTGACAAAAAACTTAAAAAACTGTAAAAAGTATGATTAAGAAAAGCAAAAAAGAAAATATTGATGTTTGAAAAAATAAAAAAGTTGAATGAATAAAAGATTCTTAAATACAAAAGAACAGTTACCGTTAAAGTCATGCAAATTGAGCTTTGTTTAGTAAAATAAGTGATAATAGCTTACTTGAGCAACAACCATGGTATTATTTAAAGAAAAGAAAAAAGATACAACCTTATGACAAGGAGGTTAGAGAAGTTCTAACACATTTACAAAACATTTTTGGATCTTGTTTAAAAGAGAGAAGGCTCTATTAAAACAATCACTCAATTATGACAAAAGTAATCCATACAAAAGACAAATTAGAAAACTATAGATGTAGAAAATAGAATCTACCTATCTATAATTTTCTAGAATTAGAAAAAGATGAGAATGCTTCTTTTAACAACTGTCTCTTCTAAAAACCTCTTTAAACCAATCAAAAAGTGATTACTAAATATTTATAGATAAATATTTAAATCCAGTAGTTATTTGGTATGACGAGAGTTTTAGTCAACGATATTAGTAAAAAAATAAAAATACCAAAATAAAAAAATCTAAGAATAAGAAATCATAAAGAAATAAAAATAAATAAGATTAATTGTGGTGTTAATCAAAATGACTTAAACAAATGTTCAAAAGATTTGAAAACTGAATTTACAATAATACAGTAACATTAAGTAATTAAACAAATCATAAATTACCTTGTTTAGACTAGCAAAATAAAAAATAATAAACTGTACATGTGAGCTCTGCTGTGTTTTTAAAATAACATTTTCAAAAACAAGCAATAAATCTTTTGAGAGTTCATTTGCTGTATCAAAAACTAATACTCCATCATTCAAACAAGATGATTGAATAAATGTGAATAAAATCATCATTAACTTATCCAACTTTAAAACTCTATCATTGTTGTGTTCATTTGAAGATTTCAAGTCATCATCTTCAAATTGTAATATATCTTCACCTTGATTTTCCAGTGATGCTCTCGGTATTCTGACATCTATAGACAACATTTTTTCAATGATGAGGGATAGTATGGATAATCTTGTTTCCTTCATATATAGAGTCAATTGCAAAGCATTCAAAATATAATACTTAATAACAAATAAACTCTTCTCAATGTATGGAAAATTACTTGTAAATATTTCACTGATGTACTTCAAAGATATTGGAGCAAGAATTGAAATAGCTTTTAGAGCAGCATGTGCATAATCAAAAGTAATTTTAAGGTGTTCAAACTCTGCATCAAAAACTTCTGTTTTTGGAACCAATTGTTGAATTAAACGTTTAACACAAGATTTTAAATAGTAAGGCTTTGCAGATACTAATTCTGTCAAAAAACTTGAAAATAAACAAGCGAATTCGCTGTCATAAAGATTCCAATCTAATTTTAAAAGAACACCTATCAAAGTTTCGTGATCTTTATTAATATATGATACCATCTTTCTAAATTCAACTATGTATTCTTTAATGATATCGTTAGATATATTTTTGTTGAGAAGTGCCGCCAATAAAACATCAAATTGATTTCTATCACCAGAATTCAAACCAGATATTCCTTGAAAAACAATCTCTTTAACACAAAACTTATTCATTATTTAATAATATTAAATTTATTATTAAAACCAAAACAAACCAATTGAAACCAATTGAGCTAATCAATCCAAATCAGCTATTTTATACACAAACCCTAAAAACAAGAAATAATTGTTTATCATTTAACTAATTTTTTTAACAAACTCATATGGAATAAGCCTTTTTTTTTTTGCATTATTTTTCAATTTTTTTCTAAATAAGTACAAAATAATTGCTTTGACTTAATGAAGCTTAATTCTAACAATATCTTTAGTACAGAAAAAGTTTTAATCTTTAATAAATTAGCTTATTTTATAAAGTAAATTTAGTTTTTCTTTTGTAAATTTATATATCAAAGCTGTTTTATTGAAAAAATATCAAAAAATAAACAATAAGAACCTCAAATATTTAAACATTCACATTTATAAACTCATTAGCAAAAAAAATGCAAAAAGTACGTCAAATGTAAAGATAAAAACTGTAACTACTTTTCTTAATTTAAAAATTTATTTACATAGTAGTTGATAGTTAATAGAAATAAAATTTACCAACTGTGATTATAAATCAACCAAAAAACTCAGAATTAAGTATAGTAACAACAAAAAATCTAGGTTTTAATAAACAATACAAAATAAAAAGAATATATCTTTAGAACAAAATTACATAGCATTAAACTTTATCACTATGGTTACTATGGTTTTGCATTGCAATCTGCATTTCTTGTTGTAACTTCATTAATGCCTCCTTTTTTTCTTCTTGCTTCTCCTGAATTTCTTTAATAGATTTATCATGCCTTGCTAATTCAGCTTGGATATAATCAATTCGTTTCTGCACATTTAATTTTGACTCTGATAAATCTTGTTTAACCAAAACTGGACCAACTAACTTAAACACATTTGCTTCTTCTTCAAGCAAGTCTAACTCATCTTTAACAATTTTATTTTCATTATACTGAATATCTAATTGTTGACGACCATTTAACAATTTCTGAAAATCTTTTTGTAACTTTTGAAAAATTTCAACTTCTTTCTGAAGATACTTTTGTGCTTTAGCATTTGCCATTATTTTATCTATGTTAGAAACACATTTTATTCATAGACTTTGATGTTACTCAATATACAAACAAAATTTTTAAAAATAATGAAAAAACAAAAATATTATTGAATAAATATGTTTATATATATATATATATATATATATATATATATATATATATATATATATATATATATATATATATATATATATATATATATGTTTTAAATAAATGAATGTCTTTATGAAACTTAATTTTAAAAACTTGTTACAAAATTTTATAACAATGGAATGTATAAAAAGTTTGCTTTTTCGAAAGATAAAACGATTTTAAAATAGCCACTCATAGTAAAATTAACTTTAGTTTGTTAACAATTAAGAGTAAACTGCTTTTAATAATAAATGAACAAAAGTAAAAAATTTCATAACTATCACGCGAGTTTAATTTTTGAATGAACTTTTGATCATTAGCTTGCTATTTTAATTTACATGAGAAAAACGAAAAAATGTTAACATATTCTGAAAGTTTTGTTTCTTCTTCATATTCTTTTTGACTTAAAATAAAAATAACAATTACAATAACTTATTAAAAGTTTTATTAAAATATAGTTATTTTTAAACTAAAATGTCTTTAATGTTTAAAAAAGTCCATAGTAAATGTAACTTATTTATTAAATATATTTTTTTTTTTATTAAACTTAATGAAATAAATAAAAAAAATATATAATATATTTTTTTAAATATGTTTTTTAATCAAAAAAATATATCAATTTTTAAATTATGTTTATCGTAATTATCTCTTCTGTAAAAGAGATTTAAAAGACGCCTTCAAGTCATTTAAAACATAATTAAAATTTAGTAAAAGTTTAATTACAATTTGTAAATATTTAAATCAAAATTTTAAAATTAAAATAATAGTAACTACGCTTATTAAATGACTATGTTTTTAATTTAAATAGTTATTTGAATACAAGATGTAAAACTATTTTGTTAATATTATGTAATATAATTATATATAATCATGCAATATTTTACAAATATTGCATGATTTAATAGATGTAAATATATTATGTAATGTAAATATTGATTAAAAATTGTTTAAAGTATTTAAACATTTAGTTACTAATTATTTAAAATATTATTAACTACTAATATTAAATTTACTAAAATATAGTTAATAAATGTTTAAAATACTATAAACAATTTTCAATAATTATTTAACAATAGAGTGGTTAAATTCATAAGAAAAATAGTTTTCTTATCGTAACTAAAGTAACATGGTTACATCCACCAGTAAATTTATGTATAGTAAGAAAGGCCTTTAAATCAACTCCTTATCTTTGGATAAAACTAAACAAGATATACATAAATGATTAAAATGATGATTAAAAATCATCACTGGTCTAAATGACCTCCCCCCCCTAAAAAAACAAATAAACAAAAAAAAAACGTTTTTTTTATTTTCTAGATATTTTTAGAAAGTTCTGTGGCATTAGCTTTACTTTTGTATTAAAAAGAGTTTTTATGTTTGTACCAGCCATCTTTAAAGATGTGCTGTGTTAAATCAATATAATTTAAACCATTATCCTGTGGTGATGTTTCAACATTGCAGACATAAATTATATTAATTACGAATATATAATTTACATCTGCAATGTAAAAACATCTCCGCAGGATAGAGATTTAAATTATATTGGTTTAACGGAGCACACTTTTAAAGATCGCTGGTGCAAACATAAAAACTCCTTTCAATACGAAAGCTAATGCCACAGAGCTTTCTAAATAAATCTGAGAATGAAAAAGAAGAGATTCTTAAATCCTATCCTTACGTGGAAGGTTAATGATAGGGCGAAACCTTTTAAACCTGGAAGAAAGTCATGTAACCTTTGCTTAACAGAAAAATATCATATCATTTCCTCTTTTTTGAAAGTATTGAATAAACGAAATGAATTAATATCGAAATGTCGCAAAGAAAACAAATTTATTATATATATATATATATTATATATATATGTATATATATACATATACAAACATATACATATATATATATATATATATATATATATATACATATATATATATATATATATATATATATATATATATATATATATATATATATATATATATATATATATATATATATATATATATAAAGAGAGAGAGAGAGAGAGAGAGAGAGAGAGAGAAGGAGAGAGAGTTACTATAAAAAAAGAATAGAGTTATAGGGCAAGGAAACGATTGACAGAAGACTTAAAAAGTTAAAGGTTGTATGAGTCAGGAAAATATGAAGATGGGAGAAAGTTCCAAAAGGTTAAAGTGGGGGTAAAAAAAAAGCTAGACAAATGAAAGTTTTTGGAGCATGCAGGGACAGATATAGTATAAGAATAAGACTTTGATGAATGACAAGTCAAGCGAGAATGAGTTTTAGTTGATGGAACTAGAGATGATAGCTCCTTTGAGCAGCGACCATGGTAGTATTTGTAGAAAAGAGAAATAGATGAAACTGTTCAACAAAAGGAAAGAGGCTCAAGCTTAACAAATAGACCGGGTCAAACTATGTTTACAATGCATTTTTAGACCTTGTCTAGAAGAGAAAGAGCATCCTTAGAAAAACCAGCCCAATAATGACAACAGTATTCCATACAGGGATGAATAAAAGATTTGTAGAGGTTGAGAATAGAATCAGGAGAGTGAAAATTGCAAGCAAGATAAAGAGAAGCAACCTTAGCAGATGTTAATTTAGCAATCGATTGTATATATGGTTTCCATGAAAGGTTAGTAGTAAATGATCATCAAAGAGGAGAAGAAGAATCAGTGAGAGGGTTGCCATTCATTAATATAGGAATATTAACAGTATTGCGATAGCTGTTTGCAGTAAATAACTAATTTTTATTGTTAAAAGTTAAAATTTACAAGCTAATGAGGCTGAATCTGTTACAGAAGTGATATCAGATTCGAGATCAGCTGCCTGTTCTAAGTGATCGAAAAGAGAAAACTCTTTGTCAAGACAGGAGTATGAAGTTGAGTCATCAGCAAAAAGAAATACTTTAGATGTAAAGTTGTCATTAATGTAGATAGGAAACAAAAGAGTCATTAATTTAGATAGGAAACAGAATAGGACCAAGGATAGAACCTTGAGGTACCCCAAAAGTTACTGGAAATAAAAAAGAGTGTTGGCCTAGAGGAATCCTCTAAGCCAACAATCTTTCTAACCGCTTTATTAAAGTCATCCTCTAAGAGGATGACTTTAATAAAGAAACTTGGAAAAAAAACAAACAAACTTTGATGTAACAATGGGTAGTTATAATAGAGCAGAAATTTGTGAATTTATTGGACTATATATTTAAGTAAAATAATCAATATTAATGATTTAGGCCTTTGCTGTGATGATGGTTTAATAGTAATGCGTAAAAAATCTGGTCCACAGCTTGATAGAATTAAAATATATATATATATATATATATATATATATATATATATATATATATATATATATATATATATATATATATATATATATATATATATATATATATATATAAAGATATATATAAAAATTATTTTTAATATTGACTTTTCAATCAGAATAAGCATAAATTTAAAAATTGTGAATTTTTTTGATGTCACATTTAATCTCTGAAAATTCATATAAGCCTTTCATAAAACCAAATGATGAACTGTTGTATATCAATATTAACTCAAATCATTTGCCCCAAATTCTAAAATAAATCCTGATTTCATTTAATAAAAGGCTAAATCAAAACTCCTCTGATGAAAATGTACTTAACTGCTCTAAACAACTTTTTTAAAGATGTCCTTAAAAAAAGTAGATTTCAAGATTTTGAACTAAAATTTGACCCTGAAAAAAAGAATAGAAAAAACAAAATAGAACTAGAAATGTAAATGGTTCATATAGCAAAAATGTTTCTACTAACATAAAAAAAGTGTTTTTAAAATTGGTTGATAAACACTTTTCACCCTGCAATAAACTAAATAAAATTTTTTATTGAAATTGTTTAAGTTAGTTGCACAAAAAATTGGAAAAGGTCACAGTAATGCTTTGCTAAACAAAAAAGAAATCAGTAATGAAAAAACATTAGAAAATTCTAATTGCAAACAAAAAAAACAATTGTCCAATGAGTGGGAAATGTTTATCAAAAAATATGGCATATAAATGTGTTGTTTCCTTTAATGCACCTGATAAACAATGTATTGTCTTAACAATGAGTGAATGGAAAAAACGTTTTGCCGACCATAAACAATTCTTTAAAAGTACATATGGGAATTGAAAAAAAAAAAAAATTGATTATTTTATAAAAATCCTTAAAACAGCACCTGCATATAACAACATTCCATACTGCATACTATGCTTACAAGAAAAATTTGAAACAATTACACATGCAAAGCAAGAATATTTATTAAACAAAAAATTGGAATTGATTTCTAAATGCAGGCACAAAAATAAGTTTCTCCTAAAAAACTATAAAAATAAGTGAGCTAAAAGAATAATTAAATTAAATACTCCCTCCTTTTAAAAAAAAGCAGAAGTAAACAGTTCTAAAGAATTCTTTTTATAATAGTATAAAAAGGAATTTTTTACTTCTGGTTTTTATTTTTACAAAATATATTTTTAAATGGGGGATTTAATATAATTATTTTTATAAACTATTATTAATAGTGTCATTCCACAAATGTGTTAAAATAAGCTAAGACTTTACAATGACTTGATGGGATTTAATTTTCAATATAACTTGAAGTTTTATAAATTTGAACATTTATTTCTGATGAGTCTTAATTGATGAAACGCAGTGTAAAACAGAAAAGTGACTTTCTACTAAAAACTCATTTATATACATATATAATATATATGTATATATATATATATATATATATATATATATATATATATATATATATATATATATATATATATATATATATATATATATATATATATGTATATATACATATATATATATATATATATATATATATATATATATATATATATATATATATATATACATATATA